GCAGCATGCTGCCGAGAACCTGATTTCGCCCTTGTTTCGCCCAGTGATTCCACGCGACATGGTCGACAGTCAACTCACTGCTATGCTGATCGATCAATAAAAGTATCACGTTGACGCATCCCGCATGCACAAAGCCAAGCATTTGTTGCTGGGGGCGGGGAAAAGGTGGGGAGAAGACTGGAGAAGACACGATAGAAACTTTGTGCAAAGACCCGAGACATGAGAGCGGAAGGAAAGATCATCATGACCTGGCGGTTGCCGGCGGACTTCGAAATTAGAGCCTGCCGGTCTTTCAAATCGGAGCTCGCCACCGACACCGCCACCGACGCGTCTCTTTCTGCAGCCCCAACTCGGATCCGTGAGTACTATGCCAGCTGCGTCTTATTTTCGAAGTCCCTCATGGTATCTCAAGCTTTAAATGACACGAGCGACGCACACAAAAACGACCGCCAGCGAGAGAGCTGTCCTTGCAGCCACTCGACTCCGTATCGCAGATATCGACGCCCAAATTCTGGAGCTAGAGCGTACCTACCGCTCAATTCAAGAGGAAAAGGCTGTTTTACAGGAACAACTCGACGCCTACGTATATCCAGTTCTGATCCTCCCCCCGGTATCGTGTCGGAAATCTTCGTTCATTTCCTCCCGACGTACCCCAAGCCTCCACCCAAAACTGGTCTGCTATCGCCGAACATCCTGTGCCAGGTATGTCGCACGTGGAGGGAGATAGCACTTTCAACGCCAGCCCTTTGGCGTGCGGTCCGCGTGTTTCTGTTCAATGGCGACAAGAGGAAAATCGAGGCAGGATTCCGTGCGCTGGAAACCTCGTTGATGCGCTCCGGTTCCTGCCCGCTTTCCATTGAATTAGTATCGGGACCATTCATAGAGAAAGAACTGCCCCCCTTTATTCGGAGCATTGCAGCTCACTGTGCCCGCTGGGAAAACTTGAAACTGTTTGCGTTTCTAGACCACCTCCACTCTATCGAGGGCCACTGCTCTCACTTCGCAGTCTAACGATTGGGCTGTGGGCTTCTAAGGACGACTCGGCGCTACCCGCCATCTTCCATACGGCGCCGCTCTTGCGCAAAGTAGCTCTCCAGCGATATAAATCGACTCACCATGCAATTATACCCTGGTCCCAATTGACTGTGCTAATCGTGGACATCATCAGGCCGGACGAATGTGGGCTCGTCTTGAACCACACGCCCCGCCTCGTTCATTGCAGGCTTGTGATCGATGTTCCAGACGAAGAGCCAAGGTACCAGCATTCAATCTGTCCTTTACTGGACTGACATCCTCCTAGTGTGGCGCCTCCGGCTGTAGATTCACTTCTGCACCTGGAAATGCTGGTCTTGCGCACTCGATCCCGATTCGAGGATCGAGCCAAGAGATTATTCAATTCATTGACCCTCCCGGCGCTTCGCAGGCTTCAGGTCTCAGACACGCTCCTCTTCCCAAACCCCGTCACTGCCTTCGGTGCGCTCATAGCACGATCAGCCTGTCACCTCCAACAGATTCACATCCTTGATTCCGGTTCATCTGTTGACCCGTGCAGACCATGCCGGAGGGTATGGCCGACGGTCGATTTCAGTTGTGGCCCGCAACTGGAGCTCAAGTCCATGTTCTTTGGGATGTTCGCTGAAAATCAGGACGGTGTGGATAACGACGAAGAAGCGACCGTCTGGAAAGATCCACAAGTCTATTCCGATTCAGAGAGTGGCGACGAAGACTCGAATCCCAATGGAGGATCCGATGGTAATGACAGCGAAGGCGATTGATTCGATGGTGTTTGTTTGTCTTGGGACGGGATTTTAAAGGGACGAAGATTTCGTGCGCTAGCGCTTCTGTATTGCACAGGTGCACACAATTTGTACGGGAAGCACGACTGTTCGTGGTTGATGAAAGCTGGGTAGTTGCACAGCCGTACTACATAGAATTGAAGTCGCTAGCCTTCACGTTTGGGTATATTGAAGATGACTGCGGTTAGTGGTAGGTCGAAAGATGGAACTCAATTGGGTCCGCCTCCCTTCAGAACCCGCGTGCTTTCTTGCAGTGAACCGCAACAAACACTCAATAACGGTGAATACCACCCACTCACTGCCAGTGCGCACTTGCGCCATCGAGGTTGACTTCAAAGTGCCGCCGACGCCACAGTTAACATTATAGTTATTGGTGTGACACGCTCCGGAGCTTCTCACTGTCTGAAATTCACACCAAGCTGCAGTGAGACCACGAGTTCAACGCGAAGCGTCTTGAGTTTTTTCTTCTGCTTGAGGAACTCCGTCGCGAAATCATGGGGTCTCAAACCATTCCGGAAATAGGGTGGTTTCGAGGCTCCCAAAAACGTTCCCGAAATGCATTAATCACGGCTTAGCAGTCCTGAATAAGATGGTTTCAGGAGTAAGTGTAGTACCCGAAAATAAGTACAAGTATTAGTTAGCCATCGGCCCGCCCGGAATGACCCGGCCCGGAATTGTGTAGTAGTACAAACAATAATTTCGGGAACGGCTCCCGAACTAATTATTTCGATACTCAACAAACTGCTCCTGAAACCATTGGTTTCTGGTGGACTTGTTCCCTTTGCTAATGTTACTAATTTCATAATTGTTTTGAGTTTCGGGACAAGTCCCGAACTGTCCCGAAAGGGCCGAAACCAAGCCGAAACAACTCTATTTCCAGAGTGAACTTCCTTCCTTCCTTCCTTCATGAAGCACATCATGTGGTCGTTCGCCACTGTCGCAGCGTGTCGCTCCACACTTGAAAAACAGTGTCTCTCAGGTAGAAGCTGTCCGCCTCAGTCAGCGCCATGCCCATACCCTTCAAAATTCTCCTCATACTCGGTGGACTCCTTCGCCACTCAGCTGCCCGACAAGTCGACATCAGCGTGAGCGCAGCCAAGGTCCTCGGTGACCTTCCACCCGTGGCTCGCTTCTTTGGTTGCGACGAACCAAACTATGCGACGTACCCAGACGGCCGAGCACTTTTATCTCACCTCGGAAGCCTGGGTCCCCACCAAACATACTTCCGGACCCACAATCTCCTCACTACCTGCGATCCGTCCTCCGATACGACCCCCATCGCCTCAAATGGGGCTGTACCAACGCGTACACCGAAGACGAAGATGGTCTTCCAATCTACAACTTCACAACCACGGACCTCATTTTCGATGCTTATCTCGAGAACGGGGTCAAACCGTACGTGCAGACGGGGTTCATGCCCAAGGCGCTGAGCGCGCATCCGGATCCCTACTCGTTTGAATTTGACGGCGGCTCCAACGCGAATAATATTTTCACTGGCTGGACGAATCCGCCGACATCGTGGCAAAAATGGGGCGAGCTCATCTTTCAGTGGGCCAAGCATTGCGTAGAGCGATACGGAGCGGCGGAAGTCGAAAGCTGGTATTGGGAGGTGCGAATATCCGTTCCATGCTTTGAGAAACAATCCTGACTGCATTCTGGCAGGTATGGAACGAGCCGAACATCGCGTATTGGAACGGCACGGAGGAAGAATACTTCATGCTCTACGACTATGCTGTTGATGGTCTTCTTCGCGCCCTGCCCAGCGCCACGGTCGGCGGGCCCGAGGTAGCGGTGGTGCATCCGGGACTGGCTCGGTCTGTTCCTCAACCATACCCTCAATGGGCAGAACGCCGTCACGAATGCTACCGGCTCACCGATCGACTTCATCTCATTCCACGCGAAAGGCTCCCCGATATTCATCAATGCGACCGCTTCGGTGCCCGGACATCTGCAGATGAACATGGCGACGTCGCTGCAGAACGTCGACGACGCGTTCTCCGTCATCCAGTCCTTCGATGCACTCAACCACCTCCCGGTATTCATCGGCGAAGATGACCCCGACTCGTGCGCCGCGTGCGTCTCGCCCAACGTCGAGTACCGCAACGGGCTGATATACCCGTCGTACACCGCGGCCACGTTCACGCGTCAAATCGACCTCGCTGTGAGGCATAGCGTGAACCTCACCGGCGCGCTCACTTGGGCGTTCGAATACGACGAGCACCCGTATTCGACGACTTTAGGGTGCTGGCGACGAACCAGATCGACAAGGGCATCCTGAATATCTTCCGGATGTTCGGAATGATGCAACGAACGCGGCTCGAGGCGAATAGTACGGGCAAGCGCTCCTCGACGATGTGCTCGTAAACAGTGTGAAGGGGGAGTTGTCCGATGTGGGCGTCCTGGCATCCATGTCTGCGAAGGCGACAAGCTGGTACTCATGATTTGGAATTACCACGACGATGCACTTCCCAAACCAGACGCAGATATTTCGCTGCACATCTTGGATGTGTTTCCCAGGCGTGCGGCGGTCGGGCTGACGCACTATCGCATTGACGAGAGCCACAGCAATGCGTTCTCGGTGTGGCAGGAGTTGGGGTCACCCCAAGATCCGACACAGGAGCAGATAGCTGGGTTGAAGGCGGATGGAATGCTGCAGATGCTGCAGCCTCCTTCCAGATTGAAAGTAGATCATGGGGTAGTTGAGGTTAAGTTTGAATTGCCGATTCATGCTGTCTCATTACTCGTGATTGAGTAGGACTAGTTCTTACGTCTGCGGCTGCTGCCCGATCTTTGTAGTCTTTGTATATCATCCCATCTTCATTCATGGGCGTTACATCCAATGTTTCTGTGAAATCAGTCCAGAAGCCCGCAACCCGATCCAGACTGGAACGGATTGAGTCTCGTCCTTGCTGCCGCTTGGAGACCTCGTTGAGCCGATCGAGAATATAAGTGGCTTGGCCGCAGCTAGAAAGCTACGGTCAAATATGTCGTCCGCCAGGAACCAGACAGGAAAGGTCTCGGGCGCGCTTCGAAATAGTTCGTGACCAAAGTTCCAGAACTCTTCGTGGATAAAGTGGTGGGCATCGAGTTGCGTCCACTATTTAGAAAAGAGTACGGGAAGGGCTCCACGCGCCAGGAATTGGTTGGCAGGCTTTCCAATGAAAGGGGAGAAAAAACCTATCAAAAACACTGAATTTCACACAATGCATCCGCCGGGAGTCGAACCCGGTGCTAGGCCAGTCGCATTACGAGGGAACGTTATCGAAAATGGGAAGACCCAATGTTACCGATACACCACGGATGCGACAGAGAAGACGGAGGATGTCGAAGTGCTTAGCGTAATTTGCACCAAGTCGAAAGGGGAACGGACTTACAGTTTTTTGGGATTCTGGATGACAGACTGACAAAAGTCTCGAAAGGGGGTGCTTGAAAGGCCCCAGATTGTCACTACACCATGGATGCAGGAACCAGATAGATGATCAAGACGTCCTAATTGCTCGAGTCTCCTCGTGTCCGGGCCATCAGTGCCGGCAGTCAGACAGGGGACGCGAGGAGGAAGAGTAACGATAGCTCCAGTATCAAGGATAGGTGGCCCCGGTGATCCGATGAAGGCGTCCGAGCGGCCCAGATACTGCTGAACAGAAGAAAGTAATCGAGATAAAGACCAGGCAAGACAAATTATCGGTCAAGACGCGCCAGCGAATGCGGTTCGTAGCTGTGCAGGAAGGAAACGTTTAACAGAGAAATGGGCACAAGAGCTTGCACAAGAGAGGCATCGGACGAGCGGTTTGAGATGATGGTGGTCGAAAGGAAAGATGTTTGCGGCGATCGTCGATCGTGATCGATATTTCGCCAGTGGACGACTCTGCGATTGTCTCAGTTTTGTCTCGTAGACAGATCGGTTACCGGTCTACCTCCACTCGGGTTTGAAAGTTGACGTTTGTATGTAAAAACCTGGGCAAAGAAAGTCTTCCGAGAATATTTGAGACGGCTCAACGTCTGGGTTGGGTACTCCAAAGATTTGTTGTGCTCTCTTCGCGGAGTCCGTTAGTTCGACGCCCCGCAAAGAAGACGATAAGAGTCCTTGAAGTTCGCGGTCCCGTCTGCACAAGAAAGAATATGATACAATGTATTCGGTTTCGAAATACTGATCTAGCTGGGGACGAAAACGAAGGAGGATGGCGATATGATCAAGTTTGAGAGGTAGGTGAGAGATGAAGAAGAAAATGTAACCACGTTTGAGATGCTGACCCTGGTCCCTATTACTTATCACTGAGCTTTTTTAAAGAGGTGTATTTCGTCGTGGAGAACTATCACCGGGATGGAAGGAAACCTGGTTTCGCAGTCGACAATGGTGATGGGGGAGTCCGATGCAGAGGGCTCGTCGAGGATATGCAGCACTTGAGGACAACAGTTGGATCTGGTGATACATCCCAAAAGATCATCAAGAAATTCTCGATCGACGACCGAGCCGCCATGGGCGAGTACGACTTTGTGCAGAGTCGGAAGGGTCAACCAACGAAGTAGGGGCGCGGTTATCTTGGTTATACTGATGCCTTTGAGTTGCTCGAGCGGGCGGATGGTGTAAGAGACCTCCGCGGGTTTGTCATCTGGGAGAAGGTCTAGAATGCAGTGAACGAGGTTGACGGTGTTATTGAGGATCGCGGCAGCGTCGCGGGTCTCGAGAATGTCGAGGAGAAGTGTTGTAATCTGGGTCCAGGGAAATGATAATTGGGAATCGTGAAAGCCCCAGAGATGAAGATAATTCAATCGCGGTGCCCGAAGAAAGGTGGGATGGTCGCTCAAATTATAGCGGCGTGACAGCTCTAAGCAGCGAAGAATGGGGAAGGAGTGTTCGATGGTGGATTGCAGGTCTTGTACGTTGGGGGAAGCCAGCTTCAGGTGCTCCACGCGGTGAGTATGAGGAATGAGCGCATCAAGAAGTCGGGTCTCGCCCGTCAACTGGATGGACAGCGGGCAGGCACCAGAACGTTCTAACCATAATCTGAGGAGCAGGAGATTTCTCTGGAAGGCAAGGTCCAGCTGAGACTTGTCGGGCCCCCAGAACTTGTCAGGTGCGATGAGTGAGATTGCTCGCCATAGCATGGATAAAGCGATAGCCCTCCATTCGCAGCAGATTTGCCCCAGCGAGGTTGGCGAGAAAGGGCCGGACAATGGCGGGGCTTTGGGGTAGCGATGGAGTGCTTTCAAGAAGATATGGGAGACGACTTCGTTGGGCAGAGTGAGGACTGGGTAAACGTATGTATCGAGCCGCGCCTGCAGTAATCTTCGTTCTTCCTTGAGCGAGGGTAGGGAATCGCCTAGACTCATAAGGATAACATCCAACTTTACGATACGATCCCGATCCGCCGCGAGATTGAGCTGCATTTTGCAAGATTTCGCACTTCGTACGTGACCGTTTGTGCCAGCTGTTTGAGAGGTTATTTCGGACTGAAATCTGCGGGCGAGTGCTAGATATAAGCTAGAGTTTGAGAGTTTGAGAAAACTGACCTTCTGCGAAGCTTTTGTTGCAGTAACTTCTTAGAGCAGAAAGGGCGAGCACTCTTTCCAACATCCCAAAAAGGAAATTTCATTTTGCCTTTCTCCTACATCGGATCGTCGCAGATTCTCTCTGTGCGCTTGAAACTTCACTATGTCTGTATATGTGTTCTTGAGACTCTCTAGGCTCTTGGTGACTCCGATGGCCTCCCTCCGTATTCCGATTACCAAGTTTGCACCAAAAAAAAATAGACGTACTGTCTACCGACACTTGTCTCGTAGACAGATTGGTTACTGGTCTACTCTGCGATAGGGGGTAGCGTACCTCGGAAGCACGTTCCTCTGGTGAACAATTATAGTGTAGGTAGTGTACATAGATCCTATCCAAGCTTTCTATAGTAGTCCCAAAAATACAAACCGATGAGTAGAATATAGTGCGTGTGCGCAGAGGGGGGAGGAAAGAATAACCCCGATATTACAGTCAAGAGATGATGTGTAATGTGGAATGAAGTAAAATGAGGGGAGCCTACGCCACCGCGACCTGCGTCCGCACGCGACTCCTACTCCTGCTCCTGCTCCGGGAGCGGTTGCGCTGCCACCAGCGGGGCCGTGGTTCTGTGCTGGAGGGACTGAGACTCCCGCTCGCGCTCGGGTCGAGGGTGAGGAAGCTCGGCGCGCTCGAGCTCGGCGTAAGCGACGCTCCGTCCGAGGACGACGGGGTCGGGGACGCAGGCGAGAACGTCTCCGCTACTAGACGCGTGAACGGGCTGACGAGCCGCTCGTCGCGCACGGGGGCGGGGTTGAAGAGCGCTTCGATGAGCGATTCGGTGGGGCGCGGCCCGTAGGCACGGGGGAGCGCGCGGACGTCAAAGGGGACCTTTTTGTGCGGGCTCGGCGGCACACTGGTGGACTCCTCCACCGGCGCGTAGAGGTCGAGCGCGCGTGGGCGGGTGCGGTATACGTCCGTATGAGTCGACAACACGGCCGAGACACCGGCGAGAATCTCGTTGGGGAGGGGTGGGGCAATGAACGGCGGTGGTGTGTCGATGGGCTCGACGCGGATAGACAGACGCAGCGTTGCGTTGGTTTTGCTGTCGCGAAGGAGATAGCGGCGGGTGACGGTTCCCTTGCTCGCAGCCGATGAGCTCGCACCCGACGAGGGGACGCTGTCGGCATATTCTGCAAATCGAGCTCGACTACACCAAGCCGTGGTTATTCGAGCATCAGGATCACCGGCGATGACCCTCTGTACGACTTTGAGCTTGAACGGGTGGGGGAGAAGGCGATATGTGTCGCGGTCAATAGACATTTGCACGACAGCCGAGAGAGGGTGATCCCAGGATACAGAGTGGTCTCGTAGAGGCACCCAAGCAGTCTGTCCGCGCGCCGCAGTGACTTCCTGTCCATCATCCGCACTAAAGACGCTAGACCCCGACGCAGATTGGCTGTGGAACGGCACACCCAACGACTGTGGGTCCTCGGCACTCATCTCAGCGCTACCGAAGCTGTCCCCATCGCCATCATGCTCAGGGTCCTTTCCTTGTTCTTCCCTTTGACCTTGTGGGTGTTCTTGAACTTCCATCTGACGCCAAATTCGCCGTGGACAAGCGGCACGCTGGCGAGCTGGTGGATATGAATGCGTACTTGGAAGAGAGCATGCGAGGGAGAAGCATGTGAAGCTGCGCTCTCAAGCCACTCGGCGTGGGTGCATCCTCGGGATTTGGGTCGACATCGAGGCATACAGGGAGGGGAGATGAGGAAAGGAGCCAAGGACCAAATTTTATGCCGGTCCATGGCGGCTGACAGACGAATGGATTTCCCGATTTGGAAGTCGAAACTCCGCGCTTCTTCATCATCATTGCTTCGTCATGCAGTGGCAAACATCCCCGACAACTGGCGCTCATCTCTGACTCTCATCTGGTCAGCTTGAACTGTCTGACCGCCACTCATCGACCCTCCTCCTCACGGGTCCAGATGTCTACCCTGTCGAAAAAAATCCACCGATACCACATCATGTTGCTCAAGCTCTTGTCAAGTTCTTCGTCACTCAGAATCCCGTTTAGCTCCGGATAACCAAAATAACCAAAATTTTCGCATACTTCCCGGCTATACGCCAGGGACGCCCCTTTTCATCCACCAACATTGCTATAGAGGCCCTGGACCCAAACGTCCTATAAGAAGCCCTTTAAACAACTTTAGGTTCAGCGCTGGTTAGAATCCGGATCTGTTCTTGACACCCTGAACCTGATCTCAACAAAACCCTTGACTGCTATCTGATTTTTGACGGTGGTTACAAGATGTCTCCATCTTGATCATTTTTTTGAGCGCCGAGTAGACTATCTGCAAAGAAACTGTTAAAGACGCTCTGACCCTAGCTGTAAAACACACAAGCTCAAATTCCGCTCAGCCACCAGTGAGGCTCATTCTGTCTGTCAATCGAATAAATGCCAAACCCAAAATTTCTACTTCACCCCAGAGTTTTGTTCCTGCTATGTCCCAGATTTGTTATCGCCGCTGATTTTTCCTCATGTCGTTAACGACGGCTTTTTATCCTCTTGGGATAAACGCCGGACACAGGCAGGTGACGTTCTCTGAAGCCTGGCGGGGGAAATGTTAATACTCAGCTCCACAATTATCTAACTCACAGGCAGGCTGAATGTTATTTACGATAAATTATATACGGCCTGAACACTACACGGCAGGCCTCGGAACGGTCTCCCCCCTCGAGAAAAGCATTCCTGAAGGCCAATGGACACCAGGTAGAGCGCTCTCGTTGACCGAACTTGAGTTACTAATACATACATT